CCCCCCCCCAGCCTCTTACATCTATAAAACACGCCACTAAACCTCGAGCCCCAAGATATCACTAGAAAAGCCAACTTGTTTTTCCCCCAGCCTAACACGGCATCAAATACTTCCAAAAGAAATATTTTACGCCCCTGTTACATGCCGGCAGCAATTAATCCCCACCAGAGACAATGGCACGTGCAAAACGGCGCTTGGCGAGATTGTGCTCGATGGCACGCTTCTTCGCGGCTGGCGATTGGGTAAATGCGGCAGAGCCACCGAATGGTCCGGCGATAGCAGCATTCTGGAGCTTAACAACGCAGACGTCGTTGGCGCCGCCAGAAGTCCCAGAGCAGGTCATACCAGCGGGCATCTGAACGGTGACGGGGAAATCCATGTTGGTGGAGAGGGAGAGGCCGCCAAAGCCAGCTCCTGGGACGTTTTGGGTGACTTCGGCGGTTTTGAATGCCTTGGGGTCTGTCCCGCCAGAGGTGGCATCGACCATGGCTGTTAATGGGCCGGCACCGTCTTGGTTGATTTGGTGGAAGTTCATTTGAAGTGTACCGTCGTCGGCAGTGGTGGGTAGACCAGTCGAGGCACCTGCACCAGCTGCAGCCTTGACGCCAGTTTCCACGGTGCCGGGTGGGGTCTTGACTCCACCCTTGGCAGCACGCTGGCCCAAAGATCGACGCATTATATTTATTTCGTGCAGCTCACGGGCCATCTTGACCTCGGTGGCATTGGAATCACCTCCCATAAAGAGTGAAATCATGTTGGAAGCATCAACTGGCCCCCCGCCGCTGGTGCGCCCCAGAGCACTGGCCTTGCTAGTTCCCAACTCCCGGGCACGGGTGATCGCGGTATCGGCTTGTGAACCACATTTAGCTTGGGAGCAGTCACGAGGTGTACCATCAATAACTGGATTGCATTAGCTCATGCCAACCATTAATGACCAATATTAAAGACATACCAGTCAGGCCAGGCATTGTTACGCCATTGGCACCCTTGACGGAGTCGATGACACCATGTCCAAAGACAGACGTAGCAGCGAACGAGGTAAGAAGGACTGCGGAGGAATAAAACATTGTGAATGATTTTGGGGTTGAGTTGAAGCTTTGAGAGACAAATTGAAGGATAGTCTGAAGGTAATAAGAATAAACTGCGACCTGCGCCACGCTAGAATTTAAAAAAGGTAGAAGGAATAGAAGAGAGAGTGAGGGTTGACGATGCAGATGATGAATGAGATTGGGTTGATAGTTACTCAGGGAGGAGACTTTACTGCTTATATAGCACGAGAGGTCAAGATCTTTCATCCTACCTTGGAGGGGGCAAAGAGCAAGCGCACGTCCCCGCTCCTGAGTCCATTCTTCTGCCGTATAGTCAAGCTGGCTAGTAACTGGAAACTACCATTCCGCCATTGGAGGTGGTGATGATGGACTGGAAACATGGACTAAGCGAGTCCGAGTAACACACACCTTGGAGAGGGTGCGAATTGCGATTGGATCTCGAGATGGCGTGGAGTGCGATTGGATCTCGAGAATTCCCTAGGGCTCTGCTTCGTCGGCGGATACCCGGAGGGAGCCAAAGACGGTTGTTCAAAGAGGGATTGATGATATCCTTATGGTGCTCATAACGTCCAATCGGAGGTTGGGAACACCAGATGGACACAAGGACATACCATGATCTACACACTTGTTGACAATCATTGAGGATCGAAGCACATACACTGTGCATCGGGGCTCGCAAGGTGAGGCTCTGCATGTTTGAACCTTTGCCGTAAATGGGGGTGAGATCGCAACTCAGAAAGAGGATTGGTCTCCTCTCGGCCCATGGTGCATCTCGGGCCAGAGGCAAAACAAAAAGAAGAAGCGTTGCTGCGCCACGCTTCAGATACCGAGGAGGAACATGCCCGGGGGACTTAGTAGGTAGGTCCCAAACACTCACCCTCGATGCTCAGCGGCTGGGCAACTTTGCCCGAGCTAGCAAAACAATGGGGAGGGAGGTACAACGGGCTTGACACCGGAAACGCTGATGGCCTAAAATAGAAGATACTCCAGCCAACGCCTTGGCCGAAGCTCAGATCACCGGGTCAACCTGCCAGAGAAAAGTAAATCGTGGGGACGGTTTCAAAAACTCGCAAGTCGTTCCCGAAGAGGGCACTTTCCGCCCGAGCGCCTAGACATCTTGAAGTAGAATCGCACAGCCCTAAACACCAGTACAGCGCGAGTGGGAGAGTCTGCAAAAACATAAACGCAGGGAAACGGATGCGATGCCTTGTTTTGGTTGGATGAAGCCTAGGGGCCTCGCTCGGATAGAAACACTTGCTCGCTGTCCCCACGTTGTACGGGGCACGCCGTCCGTCGGTTGGTTTGATGCACTTGCTCAATGACTGACTGGCAATAGCATGACCAGTATCCTGCAGGATCAGCTCCTCGCCGCAGTCGGCATTTTCTAGCGTTGGTATACTGATAGTGCATGCGAAAGCGCCAGTATCCGTTGAAGTCGAAGTTGAGGTTGGTTGTGAGGGTGAGGTTGAGGTTGAGGTTGAGGTTGATGGTGGAGTTTTTCGTTTCATATCTTGGACCCTAAACGAGTGGCGGCCCCTGCATCCGTTCAGGTCCATGCATACTTTACATATACTGACAAGTCCGTCCTACGAACAAACCTTCGTAAGTTAATAGCACGTAGTACTCGGGAAACGTCGCTGACGTACGTAGTACTACGTAATAAGTATATCTTCTTCACATCCATGGTCCCGGGCCCCTTACATTTGATGTTTTGTTTTCTCGTGGAAGCCGGAAACCCGAACGAAACTATCCGTATCTGTAGGTCTTCTGCTCTTGTCGCTATACCAACGGATACACAATCAGACACCTCGAAATGAGCCGACTTCCCTGGATTCCTTAGTATCTATTCCTCGCGGTGCGAAGTACGGATAGGCACACTTCCACTGCCGTCCGCCACGTACGAAGTAAGAGGTGTGAACCAGATCGCTGGGTCTGAATTTTCCACTGGTTATTCAAACCATCTCCCCAAGCCACGCATCCAGCGGTGCTACAATATCTTGGAGGCTACTCCAGTACGTTCGAAGAAGCAGCAAAAGTGCGGCTTAGTATAACAAGGAATAATCATCGGAGCGAAGCCAATGAAAATCTAGATGACGAACAAGCGCAGCACGCGTTGGTAACTAATGTACAGTACAGTACCTAGATAGGTAAGGAGCCCATATGCTTCACCGTTGGCTCATGCCGCCGTACCACGTCGACGCGGGTATGAAGTCGTTGAAGCTGTCAGCTACTTGAATACCCTCTAAGGAATAGGAGCCGAGTAAAATCCGCTCTTAAGCCGGCCACTGTTTGGATTTGACTCCCATATATGAGGATAGGGCGGCCGGCGATTCGTCAATGTAGAATCCAGCACCAGCTCGAGTGCATGCCGGACAGGACATCTCTCAAAGCTCTGTTCTTCAAATTCGAATGTATAGGAGCGTGGCCCATCACCTGTACTATCCGAAATCGACATTCACACCCACGCCCAATATCCAACATTGATACATTATCCTGCTCACCCACCTGACCGCCGACGCCAGAGTACTGTGCCATTACTAGCATTGCTCTCCCCGGCACGGGGGACGATTACCGGGAGTAAGATGCACTGTACGGAGTATGTTGCCCCGAAACCAGCTTCAAAGCATCCGTACGTGGGTATAGTCTGTAGCTATGTAGAGTGTGACAGACGCCGTGCTATTCAGATGTACTGTACCCCAGCATGGCCCTTTCTCCTCACCCATCTACAGCCCCCGAGCTGCGGCGCTAGGCAAATGATATACCAAATCGATCATGCAGAGCTAGTAACGTCCGATGGCTGCAACCCATCCACGGATTATTGGGCCAGGCGCAAGCAATCGCGGAAAGAAACGCCTCTGAGCCGGATTCGTCCTCCCGGAGCCGCCTCATGATCCAGGTTCAGCTCATCCAGTTCTGAAGGCGGGTTGAACAAACCACTGTCTGTGGAGACGCCACAAGGCGATGGAAAGCTCTGCAAACCACTCGGGCGGGACAGTGGGCTGTCGGAGACATCGAGAGTTCGACACATCTAGACATCGACACATCGATACTGTACCTCGACACGGCGACCCGGCGACGGTCGCAGCTGAAAGATCCTTGATGGTTTGACGTCCGTGAGCGCCTCCGGGGAAACTCCCAATCAACAAGCCTTGAGAAGCGTCGACAAGCCTCCTGGCAGCAGAGTTCCACTGACGTAGGAACCCAACACGCGACTTGGCGCCGGGGCTCCAGGGAAGATACTTGGTACTTGGAAACTTGGTAAAGTGCTTCGTGCTTGGTGATTGACGCTGTAGATCGTAATAACGGCCGTGTGGCCACCGACTCGCCTCTCACCTCAGCTGAGCCGGGAACAGAGCATTTCTCGTTTATTTAGTCGACATGCAAAAGCTACACCACGCCGCGCCGCACCACACCAAACCACCGCTACACCGCAACATCGCGCAACTCTTCATCCAGGAGCCAGGAGCCAGGCCCGTCGCTCCTGTGCGGCGAATCGACGTCGCTAGCCAGGATATCCGTATCTGGTCGCGCTCTCGCACGCCAGCCAAGCGCCGCGGCTCGTCCTAGGCCCATCTAGCCTGGCATGGGCGGTGCCGATGAGGGAGGTTGGGCGACGAAGCTCACGGGTCCCAGACTCCAGTTGTTGGCAGTAAGTAATCCTTTGACGCGGGGTATGAAGCACGAGTTCGGAGCATGGACTCCAGTCTTACGGGCCCGTACGTCAAGCATGACTACGAGGTACTTTATCGGCCGCTGATGTGGCATACATTACTGGACGAAATACGGCGGAAGCTGTTCACGCGCGGCATGGCTGGCAAGCTGGCTGGGCTGGGAATTGGAGGTTGGAGATTGGAGGTTGGAGGTTGGGTACTAGAGGTTGGAGAGATGTTGGATATTGGTTGCTGAGATGTTGGATGCTGGATGTTGGAGGACGGATCACTTACCAACATAACAACAACAACAACAACCAGGCTATGTAAGGTATGATGCTGTGCCGGGTGCTAGTGACTGGCGGCTCTGTGGCGCTTGCGCATGAGCCTTGAGGCTTGAGGCTTGAGGAGAGCTCAGTCCTGTCAACCGCGGGAGATCGACCTGGGGAGGAGCTGACACAGCGACATCCATGATCCAGCCCATCATTTAATAATATTAGATTACCAGCACCAGCACCAAGTCCGAACCCAGCCCTACAGCCACTTGGCTACAATGCAATGCAATGCCACCGGCCATTATTCGCGCCCCATGGCGTCAACCCAGCGTGACGTCCGGTGACTAGTCGATGGCGGAGAGGGATTTGCTGCTCCTTGATACGGGAGTGGAGTAAGCAATGCTCGATGTATTCCTCGTTGGGCTGAACCGCCAACCTTCTTTTCCACTACCAGGGGTCCGCCGATATACGATGCAATGCAATGCAATGCATGACGCCCTGGCATATAGGTATCTAACTAGGTAGTTTACATCAGAGGAGAGGGCAAGTTTCCCCTTTCGCCCCTCCGCTAAGACCAGACACAACCACCACCGTCCATGAGTCGCCATCCCCAACTCGGCATGTTGTGGATGGAAGAGCTAGTATCAGTAGTGCCCTCGTCCGACTGGCCTCCTCCCATTATGGAACTGCCTGTCAGATTGCAGCTGACATTCTCCTCACTCTCACCCTCACCCTCACTCTCACTCTTACTCTTATTCTCGTTCTTATTTCTTAACTCTGGGCCCTAATCCGTATGCGTCCAGCCAAACTCAATATAAGATGACGGGGGTTTCTTCTACATAAGCTTCGATCTCCCCCTTCCGCCCTACCTGGCAACTCTCTCTTTTCGGCTCGGTTTCCGGTTCCTATCTTATTACTCCAGTAACTTACTTACGCTCGTTTGCAAAGTCCAAACCCCCGATCAACTCAGCCCCATCTCCACAGTCCACACCGCCGCCGCAACATGCCTGTCCTTTATAACTCAGACTCAGCCCTCACGACCGGGCTGCTACCCATATATGTAGTTCTGGGATCCGTTATCTTTTTGTCCATCCTCCTCATCCTCCGACGGCCAAAGCCTGCGTTATCTGCCTATTACTCTCCAGGGATAATGTCCACATCCGATCCTACCAAAACATTGCGGTCAGAAGTTGAAAAGCGGCAAATACCCGTGCCCTCAGCTCAGCACCTTGGCAAACATCATTCTCAAGGTCAGAACCTACCATTACCAACTCTTCAACCCTTCACGCCACGCGTACACTCGCCTCCCTCGGCATCTACCCAATTCTTCGTCGCATCGCCCACAGAGACGGCCGCCTCATCAGTATCTTCGGAGACTACAGAATCAAAAGACTTTGCTCGCCGGCGCTCATATAGCAAGGCCCTCACTATCCCATCACCCAGCAACTCACACGCTGCGGAAACCACTGAAGTCCAAGTGTCCGGGGAGATAGTCCTTGCGGAAGGCTGGCGGAGGCACACTCGTGTCTTTGGTGGCGGTGTTTGCATGGCGTGTGAAGAAAACCAACGCAGGATGACTGCCTGACTTGCACGCCACCCGCAACAGCAAGGGAAATGACATGGAAACCTCAGGCCCTCCAGAGAATGAAGGTTGCCCTTCGCTCGACGCAAAAGCACCGAAGAAGGAATTTTTGAATCATTGTTGAAGAGATATTTATGCCCATCAGATTTACCAGAAACATGAGCAAAAGTAAGAATTCGACGATCGATACGGAAGAGGGCGACTTCAGATTTTCAGCCAAGTGTCACGGTGGTTTTTGCGCAGCCCCATAAGCCAGCTAAAATAAATGGTTTGGCTTTGGAGATCTTGCCAGAGTTGGACAGGGATTCCGAACTAATACGCCCTTCCATCAGACATGATGACGCCCTGTTCCGCGAAGCTTCGACCAAAGCAGGAAATACAGCTTCGCGGCTTTATAGAAGGATTGTTTTTGCTGATAATTATCGGTTTCATATTTTAGAATTGGGGCGCAAGCGGCATATGGGAATTTATAATAGGACATCGTGAGCGATCACCAAGATACCTTGCATAACGCGGTAATAATGGAGAAGAAGCGGATCAATCAGGATAGGATATATAACAAATAGCTCATATTATATCAATTGCTCATAGAAGTAGATCCTCATACCTTACACCGTGCATCCATGATACCGTAACCATCCAGAGAGCCATACCAGTAACCGCGTATGCACATAATAAAAACCTACGACGCCGTTCTTGTATGAACAAGATGATCTGGAAATTTCAGAAAAGTATGTTCCCCAAGCCTCATTCCCCACAGAGCTAACCAGTCAAAGTATTTCCAAGCAAGTAGGTGCTCTAATGGCCACAAATCTTACTCAACTGCACTCTCATTATCCGGCGAAGATCCAACGTCCAAGTTCCGCACGGCCACCCTTTGGCTGTCCACAAACTTCTGCCAGGCCTCGGGATCTTGCTCCTTCAGCTGCTGCCTAAGCATGGCCGCCTCGTTGCCGGGCCCATTTATAACGGCATCATGGTCGACTTGATAAATTTTGCTCCGGATTTCCTCACCGCCCCAACCATTCATCATAGCCCGCAGAAGCTCCAAATGCCTAGGCTGTCCTTGGTCAGGTGTTGCATGGCTTTCAGTTTCCAGATCTGGCTTGACAATATCACGCCGGAATTGTTGCCCAAAGCGGTGCATATGACCCTCCTCTACATCGAGAGCACGAGAAGCAAGCGAAACTTCCGAGCTATGCCTAGAGAGGACCGGACGGATGGTACCCTCATCGTCAGAGAGCGGTTGCTCAAAAGCTACAGGCTCGGTATCAGAACCCTGTCCGATGTGGCTCGTTGAAAGATGGACATCAGTCGGAGCGGTCTCCTGGGCGAGGTCGGTAACAGGTGGTGGCATTGTGGCGGAAGGGATACGGGTCTCTGGATATTCAGCTTCGAATCGATTGATCATACCTTCAAGTGTCTGGTCCAGGAATAGGAGGCGATCTGCCAAGGAGTCAGCGTCAGGGGTTGGATACAACTTGGGAGTACTTACGATAATTGCTTCTGTCTTTTGCCCTCGATTCCTTGACCAAGGCCGGCTGTAATCGAGCGCGTATTCTCCGCGCGCTGGCAAGAAGATTTTTCGACATATCCTTCGCCTTGCCACCACGAGCAGGGGTTCTCGGTCTCCCCGAGCCAGTGCCACCATCCGAACGATCCCTGGTACGATCTACTGAGGGACTCCTTGAATCATTGCCTCTATTTCTGAGACAAATACCCAACGCCTTGACAACACCGCCGCCTCCAATTACATAATCTTCATCGGGTGCGGGATCATCCTCATCATGATTTTCATCACCTTCCTCACCATGCCCGACCAGATGCAGCAACACATCAGGGATATCGACCTCTCTCTCACCGCCTTGAGGCTCTAATGTTATAGCGACCGCCTCACTAATCTCAGCCACTGGGCCACGCTCCATGTTCCGCAAACAATAAGCAACCACTTGCTTGGCTAATGCTTTGACAACCTCGCTCGAATCAATGGATGGGACTTCAATGTCGATACATACAATGGTCTTTGAGACGCGCACAGCTGCCATAAGTGACGCATAGAGGGCACATGCTTCTTCCTGGCTGGCCTCATCCTTCGCATTCGCCAGGGTTGCTAGTTGTGGATTCTCCATTATGTTCAAGTGAGCCAGGTTAGGGCTCTCTGGGAGTATTTCGGCAAGGGCAATAGCCTGCTCTGGTGTCATCGACACAGCTGCTAGGTGTATCCGTTTAAGCATAGGCATCTTAGGCAGGTATCTGAGTCGTGTCAGCACAATGACCCGAATCAAGTTGTACAAATGCGCGAAGCAAAGCTAAGACCAAGCGGGCCACCAGATGGCAGGCAGAAAATTGACTAGGCGAGTCTCATACGACCTGAGATCCGTGAGAGCTTCGTAACTCCAATCGGACTGAGATAAGGCGTTATGGGCCTAATAGATAACATCTCTGAGGCGACCGGGAAGGCAGCCAGCGAATAGCAGAGGACAAGAAGGTGTGAAGATTCGACGTACCTTCTAAGCAAGGGGAGAGCACTAGGCCGGGTTTCGAACAGAGCATGGTTTTGAGACAAATCAATAAACCGAAAATTTTTCAGCTTGCATAGAACTGGGAACAGTGCCCATAATGATTCCGGTGTTAGGTTGCAGTCGGACAAACTTAGGGCGTATAGTTCGTTATCGTTGTCTAAAGCGCGCGATATAGTGTCGAGCTGCTCCTTCAGATCATTGCCTCCCAAATCTAAACCTTCACATTTACCGTGTTGGAGAAAGCGAGCAACATGTTGGATGCCATCCGGAGTGATATTATTGCCAGCAATCCCAAGGCGACGTAAGCCTGATTTGATAGCACCGTCTATGATCGCTCCTAGCTGCTCTGTGGTTAAGCCGCATTCAGCGATATTCAACAATTCGAATTCTCGTCCTGCTAAGCGCTCTCCAAGAGCTCTAGCTAGGATACACGACACATCCGGAATAGAGGTCGCGCTAGTTGTGCGGTGAATAAGATTCCCAGGGTTGTGGGAAGGTGTAGTTATTGGTGACGGCTGCGGAAATGGGACTTGGGACAAATCCATAGATTTGAGCGAACGACACATGTTTATAAATAAACTAATGTATCGCCAGCCGTCTCGTCCGATTTTTATATTGCCCTTAAAAACCACACGCTCAACGAAGCCACCTTGGGCTACGTCACCGTTTTTGCATTTCTCGGACTTAGATCTCCGATGATTCGGGCACTTGGCTGCCAACAGCCCAGCCAGAAGAACGCGGACACCCTCATCAGTGAGACCACAATTCTCCATGATAATATCTTTAACGGGGACAACTGCCAAGTAATCGCTCAACGTTACAAGATCAGGTAGTTGCAACCAATACCCTGTGAGATCCAGTTTATCAACCACGCCAGGTGTCCCAATGCCCGAGGTCGAAGCGGCTAACTGTTCAGTAATCTTCTTTAAGATTGGGGTTTCCCGTAACTGACAACACCGGCGGTATATTCGAACAGGGTCTGTAGTGGGCGAGAGCTGGGTCTTTGGTGTTCCACTTCCAGTTTGAGAGCTTCCCAGCGAGCTCTCACTCGCATTTCTAACGAGCTCTACTGGCACCGTCCCATTCGCCTCTGCGAGTTTTCTTTTCTTCTCTTTGCGGGCCTTCCTCTCTTCCTCGCTGCGCTTCTTCTTCTCCTTCTTTTTGCTGTCCTTGTCCCCAGGGTTTGGCTCCTCCTGTGACACAGCTGACATTTCCGAGGGCGTGGTTTCTGGTTCCTTTGGCGTCTTCTGGCCCCTAGCTTTGGCTATCCCGCTCTCTTGGTTGTCAACTGGAATTGGTTGTGCGAGTTTTAATGCCACACCTTCTCCCTTCTCCGAACTCTTCTTCGCCGGCCTCCGTTCGCCGTGCTTTACGTCCACGGCATCATCAGTATATCGCGGGCCACTCGCAATCTCTACATCGACACAAAATGCCACCCTTCGTAATTTTGACTGGTCCAGCTCGGAGATAGAGCACCGCTCCCGGTTGCGATCCACATTTAACACTCTTCTCTCACACAAGCCGTGCTGTTGGCCATGATTCCCATGCGGTAGTTGGCCGCCAGATGATAACCTTCGTAATGCGTTTTGTAAAAAGCTGGGCTGCGTTGACTTGGGCGGGGCTGGTGTATATGGCGCATCGCCAGGAGCTTTTGCGGCGGGTTGTAAGACCGCATGTTTTGGCGCATTTGGACCTGGAAGGCCTGGAGTTTCCTGGGAGGGTGATGAAGGAGGAATTTGGGGGCTGGCAGGACTCCCCTCCGCGTTATGGGTGTTATGAATTGACGGCGGCGAGGAGGAGAATTTGGAGGAGATGCTCGAGAGCCATGAGTTGCGCCGAGACGGGAGTGGGGAGGGGGACTGGGACCTTGCGCTTCCATTTAATGCCACCGTTCTCTCTGAGGAAGCACTTCTCGAGAAGATTGGACGGTGTTGGGGCGCGGGCTTTTGTGGTGATGGGGTGTGCGGTGGTCCATCGCCGTTCTGCGCCAACTTGGATTCTTTCTCAATCTGTGGCCCCGAAACGGTGGGGGGGATATGGGGTTTAGGACTGTGGTCTATTGAGAAAAGCGTTGTTAGCATAGCATACCAAACCCGGCACCGTCAGACGCCATGAGGTGCATTGCTGAAAGGGACAAGATATGGTCTGCGGCAAGATGTCAGGGCCGCGACAGCCTTAGCCCGGCACATACCTTTGCTGGAGCTATGGCTGGTCATCCACGAGATGTCAACACCATGCACATTCTCCATCGTGAACTACTCGGGCGGCAGTTGCCAGTCGGACTGTAGAGTTTCGTTGCTCGTCAAGGCTTCGCTGCCGTGATCGACGACGACGACGATAGCGACAATACTGTCTGCTCACCTCAGCAGCATCGGCCATTCCATTCCATTCCAGCACGGGTTACTGGGGCTCGCGGGGCATTGTGCGCCACCAGCGGGTGGACATATAGGACGGTCCGTATAATATCTATTTACCGGTGCCGCGGGCTGCTGTATAGATCGGCGGCGATCTGGGCGTGGCAAAAACACGTTCTTGTTGTTCGAACTTGCAAGTGGATGGGTGCTGTAACGTATCCAACTAGTATCTAGTATCTGGTATATAATATCGTCAATGTGCTTGTGCTTGTTTGTGTAGGTAGATTGTAGGTTGTCGAGTGGAGCGTGCAGTGCGTAGTGCGTATCGAGTAGTGTGTGGTTTGCAGGTGTCGAGGACCGAGGGAGTGACGTTGTCGCACTTCGAAGTCTATGTGTACTACCTCCGTAGAGGAAGCCCTTATTATTAAACCTGTTATAAGTTACGTAGTACCCTCAGGTCAGCCAACCTAGCCAAGTAATTAAGTTTACTTACGGTCACGTTTCTTTGGGCTCAATCCCGATCATTTATTCGATTACTGTTACCCCAGGTGATTATTAATAGTCGACATGGCGGGTCTGTCCGCCCTCCGATACTCGGCTGACAAAGTATGTACTTCCTCCCCACAAAGCACTACCGGTACTGTACGCATGTCTCTTTCCTCTACCTCGCACAAGTTCGAGTACGAGTAGGCAAACCCTATAAGTACTTTACCTAGGTAGTCGACCGGTGTTCTTCGTCAAGGATGCTCTATATTTCCCCCAACAGAGTAAACAAAGGCGCCGCTGCAAACAGCGGCGGGCTACGACTACCAGGGTGGAGTTGAAAGAAAACGGACCATGGATTCTTTGGCGTCAATCACAAATTACGAGCCGACTAATTCTGCAGTTGTGTTTCTGCCTAGGAAACCATGGCATATACCTACGAAGCATATGGGGCGATCTACAAAGTAATCATTCCTTTCAGAGCAATCAATTCATCATTGGGCGACATAGACAGCGAGATTTATTTTGCCAACGTCAAGACTTGTTGATGTCCATGCATGCTAACTCAAAGAACTACCAGCACCGGCTTTCTACTCCTCCTTGAGCTCGGCAATCTTGGCCTTGACTCTATCCATCTTCTCCTGCTTGCTCAACTTGTGGCCCTTGTACTTAAGCGACTCCTTCTTGTACTCATCCTTCGACTTCTTCTCGCCAGCTCCCTCGGCCTTCTTGAATGGATCCTCGCGGATTTGCTTGTGAGCCTCCTGGTACAACTCCTCCAGACCCTCAGCCTCAATCTCATCGTCGATGTAGCCCTGGAACTGTGACTTGTACCGCTCCTCATCGTCATCGGCAAGAGTCTCCATGTACTCGGCGATGTGGCCACCATAGATGTATTTGCGGAGGGTTTCGGGATCGAGCTCCTTGGTTTCCATATCGTAACCGGGGAAACGGTTCTCAGAATGAGGGATGAGAATGCCGCCATCGGAGGCGCCCTTCATGGCACCGAAAACTCGGGCACCGGTTGAGGTACGCTGGAGCCCGACGTCGAGGAAGGCCTTGAATGGCCGTCGGCCCTCTCCTTCAGAAGCCTCGGTGAGGGTGTACTCTCCATCAGCCTCCTCAACACCGCTGAAATCCTCATCCATGCCGAGCTTCTTAAGGGCACGGCGGGCAATCAGGAGACCAGTGCAGTATGCGGCAGCCCAGTTGGTTAGGCCATGCTCAATGCCGTAGGCCTTGAGTTCGTGGGAGTAGGCGGAGCAGAAAACCTTGTCGCCCGTGACCTCGGAAGTCACGATCTGGATGACAATGTCGCGGTTGGTGAATCGAACAACGAGACGGTACTTGGGCGCATTGTACTTGTTCTTGGCCTGGGTGATAAGACGCTTGCGAGCATAGTAGTCGGTCTTTCCAACACGACGGCGCTTGTACTTGGTTTGATAGCGACTATGAGGGGTTAGCGTTTGGGCGGAAACAAACGAGAAAGCAAGTCAGGGCGCTCACCTGTAGTACGCCGAGTTCTTGACCAGCTTGGTGAAAGGCTGCCATATCATCCTCGAGTCAGCAATTGGCATTTCAGATCAAAGTCCGAACATCTTGCATGGACCAGGAGCATTTCGGCTCGCAACGAGGGGAAACACTCAGTGCAGTGCGGGCGGTAGTGGGATACCATCTGCGCCGCAGTAGAGGCTCTTCTGGCGATGGAGACTTACCATCTTGAAAGATTGGCCGCACTATTGCTGGGTCGGAGAGGTGATGGTGTTGTTGTGTCGTGGGTTGGAGGAAACAAGAGAAAAGAAGTCGAAATGCAAAATTATGAACGAAAAGTGCTCCGGTGTGCGCGGACAAGGGGTCGCTAGGGCCTCGGTAGCGCGGTTCCGAGGTGGGGGACGAGTCGCCGACTGCCGAAGTAATTCCGGCTGGGCGGCGGTGGACAGCGGCAGAACAGCCCAAGTGCGGCCTCTGGACCTCGGCCCCTTTCGATGGTCTGGAGAGAAGTATAGGTATAAGTATAAGTACATACCTAAGCACGAATATGCTAGGAACTCCATATACTTCATAGGCATTGTATAGAGTGCCTGCCGTCTCCATCTAGGTACAGTACGTAGTTCCTATATCCTCCTCCATGCCGCCCACAATCCCATGTTGTTTCCGTCTCCTAAGAAAAAACACCCGGCTAAATATTTCCTAGACACACTCAGGTATACCCACAGTTATGGCTCCGCCAACGCAGCCAAAGGTCCTGTAAGTCATTCCATTAGAACTGAGGCCGTGATGAATGTGGGCTAAGTAGAAGTGCAGGCTCTTTGACATTGGGGGCGTTTGTGTAAGAGCAGCTTGCTTGTGTCTGCGCTTTCTACGCCGGTGTTTTTTGCTGTACAAGTCAAGAATGAACTCGCAACCTATACTATGCCCACCTAGCTATCAAGGCAATGCCTAGTGGCATGAGTAGCCCTCAGCTTCTGCACTCTTGCTGTATATCAGTGGCGATACATATTTGTGCCACAAGCTCCCGCGTTCAGCCCATGTATATTTCCATGATTCTATCGGTGTTGTATACACTGCGATCATGTTAAATTCTGTCCTAATCTTTTATCCTCCAGCTCTCTAATCTCTCTAATCAACGACCGCTTATATGCCCCAGCTAATTCACTTCGCAGGTCGTCTCCCCCTTCCAAGCTATCCTTGACTACGAATTGGGCCACTCCATCCCCCCAGGCTGGGTAAACCACAGTATCTCCCGCAGCGCCCCAAATGGATTCTGGCATCGTCTCGAACGAGGCGAAATCCTCCTTGACTCCCACTTCTTCCGCGGCTTCGCTTCCGACCTTCACAACCCGACCCTATGGAAGGCATTTTACTCCACCCAGGCGCGGAAAAATGACACCTCGCTTCCAGTCACAGTTCCACAGCTGCCAAAAGTAGACGCTGAGTTTTTATTCTGGGCAATGATGGGTGGGTCCCGGGGCATGGATCCGTGGATGTATCCAGCACTCCTTGCGCTGAAGAAAAGCGGGAAGTACATCATGGCCGGGTTGAGCAACACGGTTATCTTTCCACCGAGCCATCCATACTCGGATCCACCACCTAGCGAAGATGTCCGGAGGCTCTTTGATGTTTTTATTTCGAGCGCCCATGTTGGGCTGCGCAAACCAGATCCAAAAATATATGAGTTAGCGCTGAGGAAGTTGGACGAATTTTCCCGAGGGAATATCGAGAAGGATGGAAAGAGTTTAGGCGGGCAAGAAGGGATAAAGGCAAACGAGGTTCTGTTCCTCGATGATATTGGAGAGAATTTAAAGGCTGCTAAGAACGTCGGGTTCAGGACCATCAAAGTAGGTCTAGGAAGAGCATTTGAGGCTGTGGATGAACTCGAGCGGGAGACAGGATTGCAGCTCGCGGGCAGCCACCCCAGGATACCTGTTACGCCAGTGGTTCCTGGGAAGTCCAAGCTGTAGAAAACCAATCCAGCCTTTAGGAGCATATTTTCTAGTTTCTAAAGGGGAGCCCAGATCCAGTAGAATACTTCTGTGGAGTTGTTATACATACTCGCTAGCATATAAAGTTCCACTGAAGCCACATAGCAGCCCACGATCTATCTATCGATTGTGTTCGGCCAATAACACATGCAGCTCGTGAGAGGCCAACTTTCCAACATTAAGAACCAGTAACTTCTAGCGTGAAAGCAGCTATATCTCTAGAAGCATACCAAGTCTACAAGGTAAATGACTGATTTAAGCCCAGTAGTCGACTCGTACAGCCCGTACGGACATAACATATATTATAGTTATATAACTATAACTTATAGATAAACAGGATCTATACCTTTGGGAACCGCATTCCAAACACCTTATCCCGACTCCCGGTAAACCCAAGTACACCTAACTTAGACTACACCGAGACATTCTCGAATATAGAAAGCACCGCTAACTATTCCTACCACCCCCACCACCTAGCATCAAACTCTCTAACTCCCACGGACTCAGTGTACTTCTCCTCCTACATGCTCTCCCACCCTGACTTCTGCCATTTGCTTTTCTCTTCTTGGTCCCTTCAACTGTGGCCGTGTGGGTATCCTTTTGGCCTGGCTCGAAATCCTCATCATTTGTCTGCGGTTTTGACGATGAAGGCATGAGCTTCGTTGCTTCCAGACTTGGGGGTGTCACCCTATTCAGCTTAGCAGCTTTAATCTTAGCTCTGACTCTCGCAGCATCCGCTTCTCGCGCCGTTGCCGCTAGTTTTGCAGCTATGGATGCCATTGTTAGCGGACTTTGTTGCGGGAGTGGGTTGTCTCGCGGACGTGGCAACTTGCTCGACGCTGTTGGTTGTATTTTTGGAATGGATTCAGGCATTGATAGTTGGTTAAATATTTTGCGTGGTGATCGGTGATGGATGTTGGAGGTTTTGAGGAGGGATATTTCGTCCGAAGGTGTCGATGAGAGCTGTGAACTTTCATCCTTGCACGATTCAGCTTGTCGGGGATTTCTTTTTGGAGGCGACAGTGGAGGCCCAACAAAATCACAAGTCTCATCTTCTGCGGTCGTATCCATATATTCCTGCTGAGAGGACTTTGACCCGCGATTCCCGGACGTCGCTCGAAGCGGAGAGAGCTGTGGAGGCGGGCCGGGGGAGAAAGAGGAATCTGTATTTATCGTGATATCGTGCTGTGGCTCCGCAAAATCCTCCCTCGATACCTGATCCATAGCATCTTCTTCTAATAGGCTAGACTCTGAGGCATCTGAATTCTCGGCTTCAAATTCCGGCTCCGAGGGCGTTGGAAGGCCCGGATCACACAGTGCGTCAATTTCTGCTTGGGTATCGCATTCAGCCTCCTCTAGCAGCGTCGAGAGCCCAAATCCAGGTTCAGGCTCTCCCTCCTTAGGCTTAAGGGGGCTCAGCCTAAGCCCCATCTTCAACTCTTCCAAGTTCACCGTTTGGCCGCCCCTTGCCATCCGTTTGCGCCATCCATCCATCATTTGAACTGCCTCCAACCACCTAGACTCCATCTTTTCGAAGCCCCCTCTTAGCCGTATGATTTCTTCCTCTCGGATCTCGAGTTCCTCCAACGGTACAAAAGACGGATTGGTCAATAAATTTCGTAAATGCTCAATTATGAACCCCATTTCGGTATCCAAGTTCTCATATCCCGTCTCCATCTCTGCCACCATGCTACCTTCCTGGGCGGTCCCCTTTTCACATCCACTCAAAGTCCTTAGTGTTTGGACTGTTCTCCTCAACAGGGCCCCTATATTTTCGTTTTCTTCACTCAAACCCCTCGCCAATTCCGTCAAGAACTCGTTCGTTTCCATTCGTAGGTCATAATTCGTATCGGCAATAGAAACATCGTCCCCCGTTTTTTCAGTATCACCACCCACACCAGCTACTACATTCACGCTAATAACCCCAACAGCCTTGCCACTTCCTCGTGGTCTCCGGCCGTCAGCAACATGCTTCTTCAAACCCTCAATAACACGCTCCCTTTTCCGGAGCTCATTTGCGCACTGGCGTCTCGTCTGGCTAACAAGCACTCTCATCCTCCCCATTTCCTCTTTTGACGCTCTAGCCGATTGTTCCGCGCTGCGTATCTGCTGCTTAAAAGCACGTTCGGTGGCTTCCGCCAACCCCAACTTTCGCTGCGAGTCGGCATATTTAGCAACCACGCGCTCGAGATCTGTCGACTGGCGTAGAGAGTCAGCGCGCAGAGTACGTATGGTGTGGGAGAGATTCTCGCGTTGGGTCGCATCGCGCTTCCCGGGACAAGTCAGTACTTATCGATAAGTCAGGAAAAGGGGAGGTAACTTACATCTCGACGAAGTATAAGATCGTTTATGACACTTATGACTCGTCCCGTTGTAGCCTCCGTCCCTCCCTCGCCCGTCTCAGGGCACGCAAAATCAATTGTTTGGCCATTCCGTAGCAGGCCGCGGGAAAGAAGCTGGTTGTTGATGTACAGAGACGCGGTACGCAGACTATCCTGCTCCATCGCAGCCGCGGTGAGTTCCTAGAATTTGAACGAGGCCAGAGGACTATTTCTATTCAAATGGCAGATCTGGAGCGGCGACACTCACGTTATGCGACAAGGCCTGTGTACAAGAATGGTGGGTGTTTAGTGGGCGTTGGTTGCCATCCAGCAAAGAGTAAACAAATAGATGTCATGCAAGGCTGACCCGACGACCGGGGTGTTGTTCTTGGCTGTGACGACCAGCCAAAGGTCACGTGTGAGGTACATGGCTGACAACGGACTTTACCACTTCCAATCCTCTACAGAGTACGAAGTATACGACCTTATACTCAAAACACTGTTTAAACCGTTTTCTGCTTAAGATGCATCACCTATTTTCCCGCTAATACCAGCATTCTATCCAATATTCATTGCCTAGACAAATAAGCAGTCATGCACCATTCATCATTTAGCTTGGATATCCATACCTAGGTACCTAGGTACCTTACCGGTAACCATCAGCACGACAACTAGAGCCTGGTTTTGTCATGTCGACGAGCAATTGAAATGAAAAACATTAATATACATTATAGAACCAATGCAGCCCTTATTTTAGGCTCTCACGATCATACTATCCTGTTCACATTAAGTAGAGCAGCAACTGCAACGACCTAAACCGCCACAGCCGCCTGCAGTTTAAAAAACACAAGGAACTTGGCACTTGCTATTTGCCACAAAGCACATCGGCCATACCACTCCATGTTGTAGTAGGAATCTATTGTACTCTTCCTCAATAACATCCAATCCGCCGCAATGAAAATAATGGGTATGGTATAAAGTGAAGGGAAACCCAACGCCCTGCAAACTATGCCTATAAAGAAGATTACCCGTTTCCCCCAGCCCATCTATGAAGCATTTAATCCCACACGACATCCCAATTGGAGTTGTTTAGTCCATTTATGTACCTGCGTGCTACATGTTCGCGTTTAATTACATCCATCCATTCATCACTCATACGCGCCTGGCCATGGCAATTGTTGCTCCAGCTGAAGCTAGATCCTGTTTTGCGCTAACGGCTCTTGTAACTCGAGGAAGCCCGCTACCGCCGGGTGCGATGACAGCGCCGGTACTCGTCCGCTTGCTGCCTATTGAGCTGCTAAGGGCATTCGCGTTTGATATCCTTCGCGTATGAGTATTCGCACTCTTGATTGGGCTAGCGCCTGTGGTTTCGCGTGCCCTGACTGGGGCCCCGTTCTTGAAGCTTGTGGTGGGCGGTTCGGGGAGAGGTCGGTTGCTTCCCGATGGTGTTGCAACCGTGTGGTGACGCTTGATGGGGGAATCATTTCGTGCGGTGGGACGTGTAATCGACACGGTAGCCTTCCTACCCGTCATAAACTCATGTTTAACAGCGTCTTCTGGCTTTATTCGTCTATCAGGATCCCACCTAAGACACCGGGATAGGAAATCGAGAAATGGCTCCTCATCAGTCTTGAGAACTTGAGCAAGAGTCTTGGAGGATGGTCGACGACGACGGCCTTTGGACGAAACTGTAAGGCGCGGCTTTCCAAGGGAGTCGAAGAACAACTTCCTGCGTGTGCTTTTCTCAATCAGATGTTTCTCCGGAGGTCCGAAAACTTCCATTATACAGGCAAGTTGTTCCTGCTCATTCTCACCAGGAAAAATCGGAACCCCAGTAAACAATTCTGCCAATATACATCCAAGACTCCACATATCAATCGGCATACCATATGTCATCCCAAGAATAACTTCTGGCGATCGATAAAATCGTGACTGGATATACGTATAGACTCTCTCATTCTCGAAACAGCTAGATCCGAAGTCGATAACCTTAATTTCTGAATGCATTGGGTGGGCTAGGAGTATGTTTTCCGGCTTGAGATCACAATGGATAACCTTGTGCGACTTCAGCAATAAGAGGCTGTTAAGAAGCTGCTTCGTAAATCGTCTAACGACCTCCAGAGAGAAGCCGCGGAATGCGTTGGACTTAATGAACTCATAAAGATTCATGTCGAGAAGTTCAGTTGAGATACAAAGATGTCCGCGAAAGTAGAAGCTCTGTGTAAAATTTACCATGCTGTGCTTGTTTAAAGGGTCCTATCTAATATTAGTCTCGGCAGCGGAAGGAGGGTGGGTGGACTTACCCATTCGCGAAGTTTCTGTAGAATATTAACTTCAACTAAAGCCTGCTGATGGAACCTCTTCTTGTTGCGAATGATCTTGACAGCCACTAGTCCTCCTGTTTTGTGATCAATGCATCGTACCACCTGACCAAAACTTCCCTTGCCAAGGACGTCAATTATTTCATATCGGTAAGAAAGATGGTCCCCCTGAACAATCGTGTAATCACCTCGTTCATCGTCATATCCAAAGTTGGCATTTTCTGATGTGGGATCACCCACATGTTTGGCGGCGTTCTGGGTTCCACAGAAATACACCTCCTTGTAATCGACGATCTCACCTCGCTCATAGATGTTCAGATTTGCAATTTGAAGAGCTTGGTGAGCCGAAACGCGTTCCTTAGGCGTGGCGCGCTTCCTCAAAGCGTCAAGGACTTTGGCGGCCTGCTCCGTCTCCTTTCGCTTAGTAGCAAGTTTCTTCATCTGTTCCTCAGCAATCAGATCTTCCTTGTCCAAGTCAGCCGTCCAGTGATCAAGAGACCGGAGAGCGCTGCTTGAGGGCTTTGAATTAAGCATCTTGTGCATAACGGATGAAGCTGTCCGCGGTGCCGCAGGTGCTGTCTTTTCGGACCTCGGCTCTTTGGGCTTCTCTTTTTTTGGAGTGCCGTTGATGCCCCAACTGTCGCTTCTAGTTCGATCATGGCCACCAAAGATGCTCAAGCTGGATGCCGAGCTCTTCCGCCTTTTAGAATCCAGATAGGTCGTTGATTTGACTGAAGGGCTAGGACTGGGCACAGTGTAAACATTCATATTATTCATCGTGGCGGATGCAGGTATTCGAGGAGGGGGCATGTTATCATGCTTTGGGGGAGGAGGAACATATTCGGAACCTCTCTCATTCGCTGCGTAGGAGATGCTATTATTGCTCTTGGAAGTGTTCCGCTTCCAACCAAGGCTGAGCTTGCGCCGCAAAGACGATCCAGACGGCGTTGTTGGTTCTTCAGGGCTCGACACCTGAGAAGGAGTATCGGTTTTAGGGGGTCTTGAAAGCTTCTGAGCCCTTGGTCCTGTCAGTCGCGCAGGCCGTATTGGCTCCGTTGTATTCTCGGCGCTTGTGAAGTCACCGCTCGTCTTAGACCTCGTCATGAGCGAATGCCCTCCATTGTGCTTGGGCAGGGATGAGGAAACGAAGGGCGAAACCGCATGTCTCGATTGCCGGTTGCTCATTGGGATAGGCTTTACCCACTCCGAGCTGCTAACACCCATTTGTGAGGATGACTCGGAACGTAGGCGATGAGTCGAACTACTACTTCGCATATCGACAAGATCTTGCCCGGGCTTATCTTCCGAACGGTTTCGCGTGAAGAACGAAGCTTTAGAGGCAGTCATGGGACTACTGGGCGTCTTGGCGTTCACACGATGGGGTGGGGTGACCTGTCCGTCAGAAAATGATGGTTCCTGAAGAGCCGCAACTTTGGCCGCGGTAGGGATGCTCAACGGCAGCAGATTTAAAGGGGGTAGTCTCAGCGGCTTTAAGCTCCTTTTGTTATTGTTTACCTGGGTGGTATTGTGCTGGTCGGCATCCGGCGAGGAGGCTCCTGGCCCAGGTCTCCGGGGTTTGGGCTCTCGGTCATTCTTGATAGGCTCCCGAACAGATGCCCTCCCGGATAAGCTATTGGTCGAGGTGCTATTGATACTGCTGGCATCAAACGGCATGCTTGACTTCCGTTTGCTGTAGAATTGGGCTTCCGTAAGCACATCTTTTGGAGAGTCGTAGGCCTTAGGGATAGCTGGGACTGGGGGTACCTCGTCCCCATTGTTCCCAGCCGAGCTATTAGCATTTCTAGGTTTGGGAGTGGGCAGCCGCGACGATGAGAACTGTTGTGATAATCGCGGTTGTAATAACACCCCGGAAGTTTGAGAGGGGTTGAGGCTCGCATTGGACACAATTGATTGGCCAGAGCTGTAGGATTTCCGGGTCAAGTCGGGCGTCGTGCGAGATGACAATGGTGTGGACACCTTCCTTGGTAACATTGATGGCGAGCGTGACGATGTTCGGACCGTGGATACATCCGGTTGAGGAGGAGTATTCGGCATCGGGGGGGCGTTCTGCAGAATGGACAATCGCTTTGCTCGACGGGCATCAGTAGGGCTAACCGTCCTCGCACCCAGGCCTGTTGCATGGGACGATGAAGGAGGCATCCCAGGCATCACGGATATTCGCTTTGACGATGATGGGGTACTTGTGCCTCTCCCATTTGCTCGGCCGGGAGACCTGGCGGCAAAAGATGGGGATCTCCCGTGCTCTGGCGTACCCACAGCGACGGACAGTCGCACTTGACTCTGTCTTGAGGGCGGCTGGAGGGACTTTGTTTTTGCTGCGCGGGAAGCAGTCAATCCTCGAGCCCCATCCATATAACTCTGAGTCCCGCTGGCGTTTGTCCGCGTCGACACCCCGGAAACATCACCCGCGCCCGTAGTTGATGGAGTAGATGCCAGACTCGGACGTCGTCGCTGGGCAGGCTTAGTGTAATCGGAATCGATCACGCCAGGCCCAATGGATTTCCGTGGAGCTCGTGGAGCATTTGCAGTCCCGGCGCCCGATATTGGCGGATATTGGCTTTGCCGTCGAGTTCGCATTGCAAGAGGGGCGCTGGGGGGGTCCATCGCCCCTGGTACGCCAGATATCCCCGATGCCGATGCAGACATGCTGCTTTGCCTTGTGGATGTACTTTGTCTCCGGAGGAGTGATCCCGTCCTTGCTGGGCGCGGCCCATTCAAACCTGCCGCCGCCCTTTTCCCTTCACTCATTGCATCGTTGAACCGCTTTCCTCCGGCGCTCTGGCGACCTACAGCTGGAAATTGTGTAGTTGAATCATTGGGGGGGCCGGCAATGCTGCTCTGGAGGTCGTCGAAGCTTGGGGAAGGTAAGAACTCAAATGAAGCTGTGGAGGCCTCGTCCGCGGCGTTGGGGTTGGCGGAGCCAAAGGAGAAGAGGGAATGGCTGTGGGTGCTGGAGGAAGCATCTACGGTTGGTTCTCTTTCTCTGCCCGACACAACACCGTGTCTGGTCGCGGAATTGTGATTCTGGTTATGGTTTCCCTGTCTATCAGCGAGTTAGCACACGCACGCGTCAGCTAGAAATGGGTGGTGAGCATACGCCTCCGACGGCGAATAGCCTGGACCTAGAATTGGACCCTGACCCGAGGGAGCCTTCTGTTCCCTAATCATTGGAAGGACTCGGTCGCCTGAAGGGAAGTCGAGCGACGCGGTGGATGGGGGAATTCTCCTTTCGAAGCTCCGTCCGTCGAAGGGCCGAGCGTTTCACGAGGGCTATTTCATTTCAAGAGTGGCAGCCGGTCGTGTGCGGATGAAGCGCGAAACAGCCGTGAACAGAGCCGGCAGAGGACAAAAGTAGAGGGAGTCCAGCCCTCGACACGGGACGTTCTCAAGCAGGATAGTGGAGATAGAGTAGATGTAGAGGGGCGATGGCGATGGGGATATGAATAGGGATGGGGATGGGGATGGCGATGCGCGTTGTGGGTGGTGGGTGGTGGGTTGTCTCTTATACACATCTAGATGTGTATAAGAGTATATTGTTGTATTGTGTATTGTTCTGTTTTGGTGACAGATGTAGGAGTATCTCCGTACTCGAGTAGTGTGTGGTTTGTAGGTAAATAAGGATTGGACGACCTAGCAACTAGATACAGTGTAGCCTTGTAGGGGGCACGAAGTAAGGATGTTTTTCTTATTAGACGTTTTAACTTTTAATCATTTGCCTTTGATAATTGATAAACTCACTCTGTCGCCCAGTAGCGAGAGATTGCAACTGGTTGCAGCGGGCAAATTGAAATTATTGAATATCCCCAATTCGCGAATAGACGGCCGCGTCGATCACAGCTTGGTAAAGGCTTGCCTGTCAATATTATTACACAAGAACGAAGTACCGCCCAGGTGCATACCGGTAGAACTAGTATCGTACCTACATACATACAAAGGGGCTCGTGCTTGTGCATATCCGCCAATACACTCCTTTGATATTATGATATTACCTGCGGAGTACTCCGGATCCAGGTAAGTAATAAGTAATTAGGAACAAGTCTCCTTCTGCTCCTTTTCCACCACGGTGCGCTGGTGGGCGCCCCTGACGCTAGGTACGAGTAAGACAACTTCCCTACATGAGTTGGCCATATAAGCCTCTATTTTCTGCTAGCGGTACTGCGTACTTCGTACAGCAAACCTAGCATCTCGACATAGGTATTGCTAATACGCACATACTATGTACGTGCACCTCATTATCGATATAAAGTAAAGTACAGAGACAAATTAAATAATTACAAGTGACATTAGGAATCGACCCGGTAACTACCCAAGGTACCTTAGGCACGTTTGATCGGGGAAACTTCGGGCGGACCCGACCTCCCTCACCTGCCCTCCATCGATCTTCTATCCTCTATCTCGTACTGCACAAAGCTTAATCTTCATGCTCCTCGTCATCTCATCCCGCTGCTTGTCGTCAAATTCCCAAACTACGCTTCGTAGATAGATGATATGCTCTGCATTCCATCCCAGTCAAATATGGTGCACAGTACTACGCTCCTACGAAGTATAGTAGCACCAGCCCACGTCAACTTCACATGATTGTCTCCCAGCGTCATCACCTACCCTCGCCTTCACACACCTCTCCCCGATACAAATTGTGTACATCGAAACAGCACTGCCAGTCCCAGAGAGCTAGGCACACTGCCAAGCCGAGATGGAAGAATACACTGACGGCGCTTTCGCCAACCGTGGCGGGCCTAATCCTGTGATCCACGTCGATCGAGATCGGGATGATGCGTACTCCTCTGACCAAGACCAAGAGCCAGACCCAGACCAGAACGACGTGAAAGCTCCCTCTAATGAGCGAAAGCGGGATAGATTAAAGAGGCATGGCAAGAACATCAAGCAGAACTTGTGGAAGGCGCATGACAAAGCTTCCGATCACCAGTCAAGTATGCAGGACCGCCTGCTCGAGAAGTACGTTGCTGTATCCTCCGGGCGACTTTCGGTATCTAGATCACTAATGCAATACGTGAATGCAGGCTCCTCCAACAGATCATCCCTATCGAAGACCAATCTTCCCATCAAGGCTTCTCCTCGCAATCCGAATATCCTACCCGCCCCTCCTTCAACTTACCTACCATGTCGAATAACTTCCGCCGCTTCAACGCCCGCATCGGCGTCGTCTTTGTCTTTCAATCCAGCCTCATTGCTCTCTTCACTTGGAGGCACCCCACCCATACAATGTCATTCCTCTCTATATACACCTTCCTCTGCCTCGATCCATATCTTCTGGCGGTGGTTCCCTTGGTGTTCCTCATATTAGGTTTGCTGATTCCATCCTTCATCGCTCGGCACCCCGCGCCTCCGTCCGCAATTTCAACCATCTCCCCGTCACTCCCATATCCAACAACGGGCCCGCCATTAGCGCCAGCGCCAACAGTCAAGCCAGCAAAAGAACTCTCTCGAGACTTCTTCCGTAACATGCGTGATCTCCAAAACACCATGGATGACTTCGCTCGAGCCCACGATCAAATAGTCCAGCTACTTAGTCCGCCCACAAATTTCTCGAACGAGGCGTTATCTTCCACTCTCTTCCTCTTCGCATTTCTTGCTACTCTCGCAATGCTCATAGCGAGTCACCTTCTTCCCTGGCGTACGACCTTCCTCCTCGCGGGATGGGCCATTACCTGCTTAGGGCATCCCACCATTCAGCGAAAATTCATCTCCATGCATAAACAACACTTACTAGAACACAGAATAGCCGTTCAATCATGGCTCAACGCGTGGACCTCACATGACATTATTCTTGATTCAGCGCCCCAAACAAGAGAGGTCGAGGTCTTTGAACTAGAAAAACTCTCATCGATAGGGGAATGGGAGCCATGGCTATTCACCTCATCGCCATACGATCCTTTAAGCGAAAGCCGGATTCGTAGCGAGAGACCGCGCGGAACGCGCTTCTTTGAGGATGTGCGCGCACCCGAGGGATGGGAATGGAGCGAGAAGAAATGGGCACTTGATCTATGGAGCCGGGAGTGGGTTGAAGAGAGGATTATAACCGGCGTAGAGGTAGAGACGGAAGGCGAGAGGTGGGTGTATGACCTGCGCTATGAGGCAGAGTATGACGATAGAAGCGAAGTTGGGGATGTGGATTATAATACTACGCTCAGGAAAGGAGAGAATTTAAAAGCAAAAAGGAAAGTTTTGCCTAGTTGGGAGGAGGGCAGTGATGCTGAGAGTGGAGGGAGAGGACGACGTGGAGAGTGGAGACGCCGAAGGTGGGTGAGGATGGTGAAGAGGAAATGGCAAGCGGGAAAGTCGGCCGATCGTCCTAGCTGATATTTATGATACCACTGAGCGAATAAGAATAAAAGGTAAAAATATACGATACCTCTATACAACTAATGCGAGTATCGATTTCAATGTAGTGGCGAAAAACACATCTAAAGTGCGGATTGCGCAAGACATTTTACGCTCCAAATTCTACATACCCATACCTTTTACCTAATTACATTAAACCTTCTCTCCAACCAAAGCTACCTAAGTTGTTTGCCTATAGCCGCCGCCATTACTATTAAACCCTTTTTCTATTAGTCGGGTTATTAACCTTGTATTAGTATTGTTGGAATTGGAAGGCGACCTATAAGCCTAAGTGTACGAACCCCTAAAGTTTGAGGCAAATATATCACAGATATGTTAAACAAGTACTTTACTAAAGGCGTTAAATTGATTACACTACCTTGCGTCTATGTGGATGATATGTAGAAGACTAGTATTTCAAGCCTAGCTTAGCGAGTCCTCTTTTAATAACCTTACATTTAATCCACTTCCAAAGCATACTACTCAATATAAGTTTTGTGGTTATAATAAAAATTATATAAACATCTAGCCTTGCATAATGCACCATCTCTTAGTTTAAATTAAAACGCTACCTTAAGTTTAGATACTCTTTACCTATTAGGGTTTACCCTCTACCTAGTAAATCCAGGGACATTATATCGAGATTGTAGACCTTTAAAGAGGTAGTGATTTAAGACGTATTCGTAATAGGATTGGTTAAAAATAAGGAAAAGTGGCAGAGTTTCTAGAGACAAATTTGATAGTGAGGAAAAATATAGTATCACGACGTACTAGTCAAGGTGGAATATCTGCAACCTCTAAACACCTAGACCCCAACTGCAAAGAAATCTAAGGCCAAGATACTTGGCCCTTAATACTCTGATTGCTGCTTTTGGGGTCCGATTATATGCCAAGCACCAGAAACCACGGACCTACAACATCGCCCCTTAAATTTTACCCTATTTTATAGCAACTTGCCCTTTTACTCCTGAATAAATTATATTTATATTAATTATATCGCAGGTAATAGTGCTAATAAAGATTGTCGAGTTTACCGTAAGGATTTAAAATGTACAGTATACTGGGAAAGCCAAGAACGGAGGTAAGCTGTGCCAAGGAAAGTGAAAAGGAAACGACAAGGGCTTTTATCTTCCGTTTCCGTTACAGCGTTGACTGATCCTTTCGTGGCGGGAAGCGGTACTAAGCAAATATGTAGAGGTCTGAGGCTTAGATAAACAACCTATTGTTATTATTATTACTATTACTATGACTATTTTATTCTAAAAACTAAAACACCAGTTCCAAACAATATACGGTCTCTTTCCATTAACCCAGATAAACCCAAGGCCGCTGACTTTCGCCTCGCTAGTGGGTAGGCTAAGTCGTGAATCGTCCCGAAAAACAAATATCTAGAAGCCAAGGGTTTATCGCCTTGCGTCAAGTAACAGTGTATCGCTGATGTATTTGCGGAGAATATGTCGAGCATATTAGATATGCGGAAAAGGCGAGGCACCAGGAAGTGCCCACTAGGAGTGAGACAGGATATTAGAGGAGATAAGCAACGATCAATCCGAGACCAGCAAGTGCCGCTCCAGCTGAATTGGCGATTGCTTCGCCAGTGACCGGGGGTGTGCGAGTAGGAGTGGGCCCTCCTGGGGTTGCTGTCGCTGAGCCTTCAGTGCTACCAGGAGCTCCGCTTCCTCCAGGTACTCCAGGTTCTCCATTGCCACCAGGAGCCCCGCTTCCTCCAGATACTCCAGGTCCTCCATTGCCACCAGGAGCTCCGCTTCCTCCAGGTACTCCAGGTCCTCCA